TCCAGACTGGTCACTGGGAAACCAGCATGAAACTGATCCAGACCCCATGAATGTGGGTGTCAATGAGGAGGCCACGGAATTCTGTGGAACCTCTTGTAGTAGATCAATACTTATCTCTACCACAGGAATGGGCTGGTGAAACCCACAGAAACAGCTGACCTCAACAAGTGGCAGCTCTTGGTCCCCAGACTGGTCACTGGGAAACCAGCATGAAACTAATCCAGACCCCATGAATGTGGGTGTGGACTTTGGGGGCCCATTTCATACAGAGGGATACTCCCTCATCCTAGACACATGGGGGAGGGCCTAGGCCCTATCATGAGGAGGCCATGGAAATCTGTGGAACCTCTTGTAGTAGATCAATACTTATCTCTACCACAGGAATGGACTTTGGGGGCCCATTTCATACAGAGGGATACTCCCTCATCCTAGACACATGGGGGAGGGCCTAGGCCCTATCCCAAAGGATATGACAGACTCTGAAGACCCCCCCCATGGAAGACCTCACTCTCCCTGGGGAGTGGAAATGGTATGGAATAGGTAGGGTGTTAGTGGGAGGCAGGGGAGGAAGGAAGGGAGAGGAAACTGGGATTGACATGTAAAACAATCTTGTTCCTAATTTAATTTTTTAAAAAAATGGAGGGAAAAAAAAGAAGAAGGACTGTCCCCAATAGGAGGCCTAGTGTGAAGTTCATGGGAGTTTTTTAAAAAAATGGAGGGAAAAAAAAGAAGAAGAAGGACTGTCCCCAATAGGAGGCCTAGTGTGAAGTTCATGGGAGGGTATTCATATCATCCTATAGAGTGTGTTTTTGCTTCTGGACACAAATAGTTGGTGGATTGCATCCAAAATGCACTAATAAATGCTTTAAACATGAAGAGAAATAAATAAATGCCCAGTTTCAGAAGAACAACAACAACAAAAAAAAAAGATTGGGTAATGATTTCTCAACATTTGAAACCTGAAGTAAGCATAACAGGACCAGAAACAATAATAAATGTTACAGAGGGCCTGGGGTGCTCAAAAGCCTCAAGGAACATGAATCACTCTCTTGCAGGTTGTGAGACACTTTCTCCTAGGATTTTAAATGCCCTTTTTCTATGTGTTCATGAAATAAATTAAAAAAAAAAACTTCGCAATAGTTGTTGCTGACTCCCAAGTGCCCAAATTTGGGGCAGAAATCAAGGCAGGAGAGCTCAGGTGGCCTGAAAAAGAAGAGATGCAGTAGGGAGCAGCTTTGGAGAGGGACACCCTGTGGTTGGGAGTGCCCTGAGAGCTGCTGCCAGAGTCCGTGCCTTATCACTCTCTACAGTGCTGAGCGTGGGAACTGTTTAATGGGTCATCTCCAGGGATCGCTGTGGAGGGAAAAGAGAGAGAGCCTGAGATATGGGCCAAAAGCTCAGATCTCAGCTCCAGGTCCTGCTTCCGTCTGGCTGTTGTCATCTCAGACAAGCCAACTTCCTCCAGAGCCTTGGATGCTACTTTCCTTCCAGACTCCAGGAACTGAAGCACAGCTGAGTGCACTGCAAAACCCTCCAAATGTGTGTGGTCACTGCTCTCTCCCTCCCTCGGCCCCATTCTGAGGAGCAGCAACCATCCCACGTCATCTGTGTGTTCCAGCTTCAGCTGGGGCAGTGCTACACAAGTCAAAAGTGACGGCCATCCTAGTCCTGTTTATCTACACACAGCCCTAATTCCCAACCCTAGCTAGCCTCTAGGGACTTTAGGTAGGACAATGAAGCCAGGACTCCTTGCTCAAAGATAAGGAGAAAGAGTTGAAAGTGAAACTCTAGCGATTCATACGCATGAGAAAGTCACCCAAAGGCCAGAGTTCTGAATCAAGCCGAGGCAGAAGCAGAGAAAGAGGAAGAAAGTGGAAGAGGTCAGTCAAGAAGACTGTGTTAGAATGGGTGTGGCAACAGTGGCTGGTGAAGGGATCCTTGAGATGAGCATCTTTAAACTTGTCTTTGAAGCATGGCTTGGTCTCTTCCCAGCCCCTTGGTTTGGGCACCTGCCTCTTCAAGTCTCGGCTTCAGACCTCTGAAACAGAGAGACTAACATCAGCTGCGCAGGTGATGTTAATGATGGCTACGCTCACTCATGAAAGAGCAGCTGTCAGTTGGTTGGATGAGTGGGACTCCTTCCCCTAACACCTTCAGGAAGCTTTCCCCTAAGACCAAAGACCTGGGAAACCCTCGGCAGTGCTTGTCTGTACTGCTTGCTCCTGTCCATCTCTCTTCACTTCCAAATTCACACCCAACTAAATAAATAGGAGGCTCCTTAAGGTTAGGACCAAACATAGCCCAGGAGCCCCTCCCTACAAAGCACCCATCATATTTCTGGCAGAGGCTAGTGGCAGAGTCCTGACACTCTGAGTGAAAGCAAAGGCTAACACACAGATATTTTGAGGAAGAGCCTGGAGTCCACATTGGGCCAGCCTCTCCATATCCTGGCTCTGTGGCTGTCCTCTTTACTGATTACTGATTCCCCTCCCCTTCACTCTTTGCCTGCCATCAGCAAGTGCTCTCTCCTTAAAAGGCAAGTGGGAAGTCAGCTTGTCCCCACCTGACTCCCAAATTCTGAAACCCAAGGCTGCCAAGAGGGTGAGGCCCAAGCAGCTATCAGCCACCAGAATCACAGTCTCAGCAGCAGCTGGGGGCAGGGTTCGAGAGGACCTGCTGGTGTAACCCACAGAAGCATCCCCACAGATATGCTCCCCATCTCATCCAGCATCTCCCAGGGACTGGAGGTAGATACAGCAGGGGCGTGACAGAGAAAGACCTGAGGGAAAATCTTACTCACCAGCCCCCACCCAGAGGGCAAAACACATGACCTATGGTGCAGGTGCGTATGGGGCTTTAGCTAGCCTTGCAAAAGGAGCTTTGGGACCTGTGTAATCTGGGATGGTATAGATGGGGAGAGAGAGACTGCTGAACAGAACAGAAGCTCCAGTCTTGGTTTCCACCCCGCAGGAGCTACTTCTCACTGGTCAAGTATCAGAACTGGACTTGCAATAGAGGTCACCAGTCAGTTGGCATCATTTCACAGGAGTAAGGGGTACAGAGAGAGTGATGTGGACCAAGTTACAAAGAAGGTTGGTGGTGCAGCTGACATTGCAGCTCCTCTCTCCCAACCCCAAAAGAAGAGAGGGCCAACAAAGAAGTCCCAGGCATCCTCCGTTCCTGCAGCCTGGGAGACAGGCACTCTGAGGGCTATCCCACCATCTAGCAGGTCCCATGACCAGGAGACAGTCTGGCAGGCCATGTGACCAGAAGGAGGAAGGTGGTATCTAGCACACAGCAC